TTTTTTAACATATTGTTCTTGAACCCATCTTGGCAGTTAAAATGTGGTGATATTGCATGTGGCTATTTTTGTAATCAGTCCTTTGACTCCTTCCCTGCCTTTGTTCCTGGGATAAAAGAGAAGTCCCATTTCATAATTTTTTTAATTAGTTAGTTATTTGGTACAGGGTCTAGCTACGCAGTTTGGGCTCAGTGATTCTCCTGCCTCAGCCTCCCAAGTGCTGGGATTACAGATGTGTACCACCATGCCCAGTTTCCGTGGCCAGCTGGGCACATGCAGTACCAGGGATCGAACCTGGGTCCTTGTGCTTGCCAGGCAGACACTTAGACTGCCAAGCTATCTCCCCAGCCCCCATAATTTTCTTTAGGTGTTTTGTTTAGTTTTTGAGATGAAGGCCCACTCTGTCACCCAGACTGCTCAACTCTGTGCTCCTGTGACACTGCCCCTCAGTTGGGACTGTAGGTGTGCAGCGCACCCAAGCTTCCACCTGCTCCTAGAGCCTGCAGGACACTGCCGTCAGTCATTCCTTTTTAGCCGTTGTATTTTTAAGCTATAAAATAAAGTTAATTTGTACATTTTAGATCTTTTTGTAATCCTGTGAGACTGTGAACAGTGCTGGTTTTTTTTTTTTTTTTTTCATTCTTGATTTGATAATATTTGAAGCATGAAACCTGGATTTACTCTTAAACAGATCTTTTATTTTAATTTAATTACAGGGTTGTAGTTTTGGAAAGCAGACCAACAGAAAATCCGACCGCACACAGCAATCTCTACATATTGGCTGGACATGAAAATAGTTACTGAGCAACAGAAACTGATCTCAACTGACAGGAAGATGAATTTATAAATTTAATGGAAGCAAAAATACTTTAAGGAAATCAAGTATAGACTGCACTATGATTTGCTTTAACTCTATGGGTTATATCTCAAATGATCTGTACGGTAGGATAGAACTCACTTTTCTGTAGCTGGAAACAGCTAGTCTATCTCTCGCCACGATGTGGTGGTTATATCAAGTTTGCTTAATAAAAGCTATGAGATGAATAGTCCTCTAGTTCCAGGAAACAGTCTTTTTTTAAAAAAATAATGTTTGTACCAAGGGTGCCATGGTATTTTTAGATAATTCATGAGATAAATTTAGTGACCATTTTATCATTTTATACCATGTTGTATTCCTTCTTAACAATTTGATAAACTTTCAAACCTTTCTCTTTTACATTGGCCATTCTGTGTGTTTTTGTAAAATACAATATTTAATCCTTATTTATTAATCTCTTGCTGGAGTGGTGTAATGTATCTAACTTTTAACAAAGGAAGGTTGCAGAGCAGCTTACATTTTTTTATAATGTATAAAAATTTTGTTTACCTTTTCAGAGTAGTACTTTAGGGGTTAAAGGCAGGTGTCCTGTGGGATTCAACACATCCAGTTTCATTTAACAGAAGTATTTTATAATACAATTTCATGCAGAATTGCCTTAAATGGGAGTTTTATGCTAAGAGGTCATACAGAGAATATTGATGATGGTTGAAAAATAGCTTTAGGAGTGGTATCTATGTCTACCTGTGACTGCCATGTGTGTGTATTCTTGACAAACAGTATAATATGCCTGTGATTTTTTTTTT